TTTGTGTCACCATTATGCCCCTGCTCCTTTGCATTAGGAAGTCCCCGAGTCCAAGAGATAATGTGCAAAGGGGGATGTCCAGAGACTTATACCACTCATAACTGCATTCTCTTTCAGAAATCGAGGTGGTTCAACCTGATGACAAATGAAAGCGATAGTCAGGAAACTTATGGAGCTTTAGACCTTGGGGGAGCCTCTACGCAAATCACTTTTGTGCCCCAAAACCAGACTATTGAGTCTCCACAGAATGCCCTGTACTTCCGTCTATATGGCAAGAACTACAATGTATACACACAGAGCTTCTTGTGCTATGGGAAGGATCAAGCGCTCTTGCAGAAATTGGCCAAGGACATTCGGGCAAGTATAACTGAATCCAGACCTGCCTTCCCCACATCTGGGCTGGCAGCCCCCACATCCTGTTGTTTTCTCTTTCTACTTTAGTAATTGATCTGAAGTGGACTACTATACTTTCCAAACCTTTTCAGACAGGATATCTAAGTAGATCTGGTAGACCCTTATGAATCGTTCCATCCAGACATCACCTCCTGTGTTTGTTTATTGTACTATTTCCAAGGACACGACTCAGATCCTTTCTTGGGAAATTCTCACCCCTGTGGGGTTGACAATGAAAATTATGTACCAGACTATTGTTACAGGGGAGGGCGTGTGCAATTTATAACCTCTTTACCGCTTTTTAACCTCCTTAGCGATTAAACAGGGTTGTTAGAAACCTGGAGAGAAGGAAAGAAAAAAAAAAAAAAAACAGGGAAAACACAAAATTTATTGATCAACACTTCAAATCTTGTCCTCAGATACTTTCTGCATTTTGAAGGAAAGAAAAGTTAAACATACTGAAATCATATGAGTACCAGTCACGCCCTGATAAACACAGAGCAAGGATGTCACATCCAGCTGTTCTCTGTCTCCACTGAAAGGACAACCAGTTCTCTGCTCTCTTCCAAAGCTCACTCTCTGGCTCTCAGAAGCACTATCCATATGATGACACCACGGGACCAGGGGCTGCTGAGATACGCCTTCTGAGCTCCAAAGCTCCATTGAGCCTCTAATCCACAACAGTCCTCTTTCTTCTCTTGAAATATATTGAGTGTGGGTTAAAAACCCATTTTGCTACTCCTGGGTTAAATGATCAAGGTACTTCCAGCCCTTGGAAGATTCTGACTTTTTGCTTGGAAGTGGGGGTGGGGGTGGGGTGTAAACTGACTCCTAGAGACCTATCTCAGGCTCAGAATTTTGAGCCTTGAGTGTTTTCCTTCAGAATCTACTTCTGATCTATGTGATTAGAACTAAGCACTAGGGAACATTACAAACCAAAGGCGTTTCTGGGCCCATCTTGAACTCTATTAGCTTTCTATGAATAGAGAAAGTTGATTTACATCTGGTGTAAATGATACCATTTGTCAGATACCACTTCTGATGCCTGTTATATAAATCTGACTGTACCCAAGGCTGAAAAAGGCAGGTCAGAGGCATACCGATGCCAATGCTGAGTGCTAGGATGTTGTATAATTCCTACACATTAATAAAGTTAGACTGGTGCTTTTTACCCAAAGCAGTTGCACATGACCCCTTCAAGTGATTTTTTTCCATTCAGGAGACAGACAAAATCCTCAGGGACCCGTGCTTTAACCATGGATACAACAGGGTAATGAACATTAGTGACCTTCAAGACAGCCCTTGCACCAAGAAATACAAGAAGATACTTGAATTCCAACAATTGCAAATTCAGGGCACTGGAAACTTTCAACAGTGCCAGCAAAGCATCTTTCAACTCTTCAACACAAGTAACTGCCCTTACTCGCACTGCTCCTTTGATAAGATTTTCTTGCCGCCACTCCGAGGACATTTTGGGGTAAGTTTGTGAAATGATAAGTTTGGTTAGGATGATTTTGGCTGCGAGTTATGGAATATGTGCCTACAAAGAGTTTAAATAATAAGATTTATATTTCTCTCACATGATAATAAGTCTTGAGGTAGATAATTCAGGGCTAGTTCTTCGGCTTAAAAATGTGATGACTTGGAATCAGCTTTTCCATTTCTTCTTATGGTGTTAAGATGGCAGCTATTGCTCTAAGTGTTGTATCTTTACATGCAAAGCCAAAGCAGGAAAGATGGAAATTTCTCTTGCACACAAATTCAATTTTGCAGAAGTGGCAACAAACATCTTTAGAGATGCCATCGGCCAGAATGTGGTGAAATGCATACCTCTAAACCAATTTATAATAAAGGGGAATGGGTGACCATGGTTGGGTGACCATCCCTGTTCATGAATGGGTGACCATCCCTGTTCATCCTCTGGAACTGAGGAATCTTTCCTGAGCACACTGCATTCTTTTTTGGGATAGAATCAGGAACCTGTAAGCCAGAAGAAGGGGGCTGGTTATTTGGTAGACACTCATTAGAATCTGCCACAGGTGGCTTCTCAGATGTCAGAGAAGGAGAAGCAGCAGTTAGGTGTCTCAAGCAAGGTTTTCCTCTATAAAAAAAAAATTGGGAAGTAGAAACTCAGGAAACCCCAAGGAAATACTGAAGATATCATCATTTTCATTGCATTTTAAAGAGTGGGGGGACTCTTTGAATCCCAACTCCAAATTCCTTCTTTTCTTAATTACTCCAAAATAAAAAATATTTGAGCAGAGGTAGAAGAGGTGCCCCTTGACCTATTCATTATTCAAATTTCACATTTTGGTTCTGGAAACCAAGCACTTACTGTAATCATAGTTTAGTAATATGTTGCAAGATTAGCTACAATTAATCAAGTGCCAATTATTGACTAAGCACTTATATACATTATCTCACTTAGTCACTTAAGATAGCATTCATAGAAACAAGGACTTTTGTCTGCTTTATCCTGGAGCACAACTGTCTAAGAAAGAAAGATGAATAGATACATTCCCAGCGCAGGTAGCAGGTTTGTCCCTTCATTCTAATTCCATGAATTGGTCTCCACTGTGGCTGCAGAGAAATTTTGTGTGGTGTGTGTGTGTATCATGATTACCTTATGAATTTAAAAAATATATAAAGGAGAGGGGATTTAAGACATCAAATCTGATTCAAGTGTTTGTAATAGAAGGCCATATTTATTTCATTTTCTATTCTTTACATAATAGCATTATTTCATGATTTCACATATTTGATTCTATTCAAAGCAATGGCTAAAAGCAAAATATTGAGGCTGTCTAAACCAGTAATGCCTTTTCTGTGTGTGCGTGTGGTAAAATATACATACTAGAAAATTTAAGTGTACAGTTCTGGGAATTAAGTATATTTACATTATTGTATAGCCATTACCACCATCCATCTCTAGAACTTTTTCGTCTTCTCAAATAGAAATTCTACCCATTAAACAAAAAAACTAACTTTCTGGTCCTCTTTCCCCTTCAGGCCCTGGAAACCATCATTCTACTTTGTCACTATGAATTTGACTATTCCAGGTACCTCATATAAGTGGAATCATACACTGTTAGTCCCTCTGTGACTGGCTTATTTCACTTAGCCTAAATGTCTTCAGTAGATGAGTCATTCTTAACTCTTCAAGGGATCACAAGACTCTCTGAAGAATGTGATGAAAGCTAAGGATCTTCCAAGCAGAAAAATGGACATATAAAGGGATGTCAAAATTTTTTTTTTGCAACAATTTAAAAGATATTATGATTCCTTGAGGTGGACCTATGAATCCCACATTAGGCCCCTTAATCTAGAATGAAAACTACATAGAAACTAGAGATTAAAGTAGAACAATGAAGTCATACAGGGCAGTGGCTGGGAATGAATGCTACAAAAGTGTCAGAGGTCAAATCTATTTAGAAGTATGGAAAGCAAATGCAGACAAATATGCCAGAGGCAAACGACCCTAAAATTGATGCTACTCCGGCCTCTAAAATGTTTCCTGCCAGGGCAGAGCCAATCTAATGGCTAGTAATACAAATTAGAGAAGCAAGTTAAAATAAGTAATCAAATTAGAATGAGGATTAGGGGAATATGTCAGGTGGTTAGTTTGGAGGCAGAATCTTGAGATTAGACTGTAATGCCTGTTCCTTTTCTAACTAGAAATGCTTTATTTAATCTTTTTTCCAAAGTACTATCAATATGTTTTTAATTGGATCTTTGGAAAATGATTTAACAAACCCTTTTTCTTCCTTTATGGATAAATTTGGCTTTAGGTTAACTTTCTGGATTTGTTTCCCTGAAAACCGTATAAAGGTGGAGTGTCAGTTATATTATCAGGCAACAGTTCTCATGATAAAAATGACCCCTGAAATAAATTGCATCTGGTCTGGAAGAAATTATAAATGAACTATACCTTCTCTGTGGGCTTCTCTAATTTGCATAACGGCTCTGTATATGTAGGGTATGTAACAAAAAGCTTTATTTTTATAGCACTCGTTACTATCCTTCATACTGTTATTTGTTAGAGTTCTGCTGCCTTCCACAGAGGGCAGGGCTTTTCATCACTGCTTAGAACATAGTTGGTACTTAGTAAATATTTGTTGGATGAATGAATGAATGATATGCAACCAAAGGTCAAAGAAGTGTTTCAATCACTTCTTAGAACATAGTTGGTACTTAGTAAATCTTTGTTGGATGAATGAATGAATGATATGCAACCAAAGGTCAAAGAAGAGGTGGAATGAGAAAAAAGCTATTAATTTTGGCAGTTTGGAGGTTAATGAATGCAGTTTCAGAAGCCATGTCAGAGTGGACAAAGGGAGATTCTCCAAAGTTGGGGGAGCAGGGAGGAGGATGGGCAATTGATATCACAAAAACGAGAATAAATTTCAGAGAGGTTAGACTGCTATACTGAAACCAACTCAATTAAATTGAATAGGAATACATATATTACATTTCTATGGGGTTATAATTGCACAAATGTTGGCTGGCAAGAATATGTAGTCTTTATAGGTTGACATGTCTATTTCCCCCACTATGTCCTGAGGCCCTGGAAGGCAGAGATGGTATATTTTTTCATTTTTTATTTCTGGGCTTGCCAGAGTGTCTGGAATATTGTACATTCCTGGCAAAAGAACTGTAGTATTTGGAATATTCTAGAGAGAGAGGACCAGCATGCACAGAAGCCTGGAGGTGGGAATGAAGCATGTTCAGAGACTTGCAGGTAGTTCAATGGGTTCCTATGTGGACCAGATAGGAGACTTACCTCTGGTATTCTAGGAGCTTTCCACCCAAGCTTAAAGATAATTTTTTTTTAAATCTTTAAATGCCTTAGTTTGAGGTTTATGATCCATAAACTCATATTTCTATAGTACAGGAAAATGGTGGTGGTTTTAGGAAGACTGAGGATGAAGATATATTTCAGAGGTTTGGAAAGAAAATAATTCCGGGCTTTAGAAGAAATCAATAACCCTGTTTGGATGAGTATATAAAGGACCATTTCTGAGACTCATAGAAAATAGAACATGTTTTAAGCTCTAGCGTAAAAAAAATACATGGTCTCCTATAGTTGTAAAGTGATCTAATTTTTTGAAAGAGAATCTGACAAGATATGTATGGATATTTAAAATGTGCTCACCTCTATTTTAAAAACTGAAGTCTAACACATCTTCAGTAAAATGTGCACATTTCAAAACATTTTTATTTTTTAGTTACAGTTGACATAAAATATTATATTAGTTTCAGGTATATAATAGAGTGATTAGACATTTATATAACTTATGAGTTAATCACCTGATAAATCTAGTACCCATCTGACACTATACATAGTTATTACTGTATTATTGACTATATTCCCTATGCTATACTTTACATCCTCAAGTGTGCACATTTTAAGGCCACCACTTGATAGTGTTTAAGGGATACACCTATGAGTCCATCATCTAGATGAAGATATAGGACATTCCCAATACTCTAAAAGGCTCCCTTGTCTGCTTTCCCAGTTGCTAATCCCCCCTCCAAAGACAACCACTACTCTGACATCTATCACCATAGATCATCAGTGTTGCCAGTTCTTGAAATCAGTGTCTGTTCTTTTTTTTTGACTTCTTTTCTTCAATATTGCCTGATATGATGTTGTTGCAACGTTGTTCCCTGTAACAGTAATTCATTCTGTCATTGCAATGTAGTATTCCTTTGCATAAATACACTAAAGTTTATCTAGCCATTTCACAGTTAATGAATATTGAGTTGTTTCCAATTTGGGGCTATTATGAGATGGTGTTGGCAGCATGGGAAGGATTAGAATATGCCTGGCCTTGAGAGATCTGATAGAGTCTGGACTTTATTGTAGGTATAATTAGTAGTCAGTGAAGGCTTTAAGCAGAGTAGTGATTTGATCAAACTTGTTTTTAAAAGATTCCTGTGACTGCCATGTGCAGGATGGATTGGAATAGGAGGACTAGAAAGGTAACATGGAGACCAAATAAGAGGCCACTACGGTGACCACACAAGAGATGATGGTGGCTTGGGTTAAGATAGTAGAAAGAGGATCATACCAAGATCTTGTTCTGTAACCAGCCAACAGTATTTAAAATGTTGGAATTCCCAAATTCAAGGGATGTGGAAACTGTAGTTCTGAGCTCCTAGGCGGCTCGACTTCCCCAAAAGAATGAGCATACCAGTTCAGAGGCTAAGTGTACAGAAGAATTAATAGCAGCATTGTTCATAGGCAAAAATCCTGGCATCAAGGGAAAGCCTGCTGGCAGGGTTTGTTGAATAAATTATGAGACATTCACACCATGGGCTCTTACGTAGGTGTTACTGTCCCCACCTGACTTGGAGAGATTTCCACAAAAGATTGTTAAGAGAAGCAAGAAGCAGAATGTTTAAAATTTCATATAAAAAGCAAATTCTTTATGTATGTATATTTGTATATGATTACACAAGTAATGGGGAATAAATGGAACATGTCATATGAAGTTATAAATGTGGGCTTACGTTAGAACTAGAAGTAGAGGAGAAAAATCAAAAAATAAATGAGAAAGAAAAGAAAACTTATTTAAAAGGACAAATACACTCACATTCATTTTTGTTAAATTAGATATGTTATATGTGTATGAGAATATTTTTGTAAATAATGGAATTTTAAGCTGACATTAGGCTTGCTTTGGTTGGAATTAAAGCATAAGGCTGGAACTTGTCTGGTAGAGGATATTTTTCCTGTTCTCCGAGTCCGAATTGAGTCCCTTATGGGATCCCTGCTAACTCCTGTTCTTTGTCCACCAAAAGCCTATTTCTTTGCCATCCTGTATCTTTGCCCATGAGAATTACACATGAATGCAGTTGGCTTGTTTGAGAATCACATTTCCTTTCTATAGTCACTTCTAGTTTAGTAATTTTACAGAAGGCAAAATATAATCCCTAATCCAAACTACTTCTAGCATAGAGAAAGCTTTTAACTCCCTTCTAATAATCATGGTAGACTGTGACTCAACTCAGTGTCTGGCACACAGAGCTCAGAGTGTTTGTTGAATAAACAAATGATGTGCTCCTATGACCTCCAAAATGATTTCCCCTAAAAACTGGCACCATTTAAGGCAGGAAAGAGAAGAAGCAACTCACCTTCCGGAAGGTGAGTTGAATCCCTCTATGTTGGACACAGTACAAAACTGCATTTTTCTCTTGCAGGCATTTTCAGCTTATTACTATGTGATGAAGTTTTTAAACCTTACATCAGAGGAACCCTATTCTCAGGAAAAGGTGATTGACACGGTGGAAAAGTTCTGCTCTCTGCCTTGGGAAGAGGTAAGTGACTGGAAACAGCAGCTGTTACAATTGCCGTGTGCCCTTGACAGCATGGAGGATGTGAGTCTGCCCTTCGAGATGTGCTAATTTGACCAAGATCCAGCAAAGATGTTAGAGAAGCCCAGATGGGGCACTCAGTTCGCAATGAGTTCACCGGCACCCCTCAATAACTTGGCACATAATGACTTAAACAAAAGAGGTCTTATATTTTTCACCTAACATGATACCTGGCAGTAGGCAGCTGTTGGAATGGAGTCAGCAGCTTCACTATCTCAGCCATTACGTCTTCAGATCTAGATTCAGGGATCACAGCCATGTTCTAGGTCAGAAGAAGGGTAGACCCAGGCACATCTGTTCTTTTCCATAGGAAAGCAAACACTATCCCAGAAGCTCCTTAGCGGTTTCTCTTATACCTCATTGGCCAGAACTGGTTAGGAAAGCAGGGTGCAGGATTTTATGACTGGCTTAGAGATTTAGATCCATCATGAGCTGCTCCCCAAACCCCAAATCAGAATTTTTATGGCAAAGAAGATGGGCAGTTCAGAGAATCTGCCACAGACACCATTGCATTAAGACCCTTTCTCACTGCCCAGGTCCAAGATATCCCCTACTTATTCATAAATTTGAAGCACATTTAAGATCTGTTGCTATTTGATGAAAGTTTCCAGAAAGGAGAGAGGTATGAGATCTACTCTGATTAAAAAAGACAGATCATCTGGGGGTAGCTCAAAACAGCAGCTGTTTTAAGTTGACACAGTTGCAAAAGTGAATGGTGCTTTCATTCTGAAAAAATGCTGTTAATTAAAAACGGGTTCTAATTGGCACTGACGATGGGGGAAGGAAGGTTGTGCAAGAGCCTGGAGGTTTGGAATTCTCCTGAAGTACTTTGTCAGAGTTAAAATACGAAGGAAGTGTAGTCAGGGTTTTCAGAAAGAGCCACTCAAATATGCCTCAACACTTTACAGTTTACGAAACACTTAGGGGCAAGCATTTTGCAATTGGTGGTGATCTGTGGAAGAAGATGAGCATCTTGGAGACGAGGTGACTTGAGATCAGGCCTATGTATAGCTGCTGCGGAAGCAGATGTAGGCTGCTCTTTGAAAAAAAAGAAATTTCTTCTTGTTCAGAGTGAAAGCTCTGTCAGATTTTCTCTCCTTACCCCCCATCTACTTTTTTATTTCATCAGAATATATTAGGTTGGAAATCTTAAAATATGCAGACCTGTCAGTCTGTACAGGTAAGTCACATGAGGAATTGCTCAGAGGCCCTGGAATTAAGCTCAGAAAGGCCTGCATTTGGGAGAAGTTCTGAAATATTTGGTGGGGGAAGGATGAGGTGTTAAGGGCTGGATAGGGGAGTGGAGTTGCAGGTGAGACCCAGACCCTCACCCAGAGCTAGAATGTTGAGATGGGTGTAATGACCCAGTGTTCATTTTTTTCAACTGTCTTGTTATAGGTTAACTCTTTTCTTCTTTTCCTGCTAACCTCAACATGAGGAAAGACTGCTACCCTAGTGTGACTGGAGTTTGAGAATGTCCTTTCTAGACACCTGGTAGATGGAGAACTAACCACTTTAAAGCTTATATTATGTGCTGAAAATGGGCAAGATGCTCTATACATCCTGCAGTCGTGCTGCCTATCCCTGCTTTGGCAGGGGAAATAAAATGCAAAGGAGGGTGAACCATCACCCCATTTGGAGAGCACATAGCATCGAGTCCACAAGCATTAACATGATCAATTCTGGGTTGAAAAAGTTGAAGGGATTAAGAAATACAAATTGGCAGTTATAAAATAGTCATGGGGATGTAGAGTACAGCATAGAGAATAAGGTCAATAATATTGTTAAGTATGTATGGTGTTAGGTGGGTACTACACTTATTGGGGTGATCACTTTGTAAGTTACATGAATGTCTAATCACCTGAAACTAATATTGTATGTCAATTGTAATTGAAAAAATGTGATCAATTCTGGATTGGTAAACTAGGTAGATACCTTTGGCTTCTTTATTTTTTGGGTAGTATCATAATTAATCTTTGGCAAGTTAGACTGCATAGCCAATGTACAGTTTCCCAGAAAGGAGGATAGGAATGTTAAAGAATTTAGGGAAATTAGGCCCAGATGGTATTCCCCACAAGGGACAGGCCAGCCTTTAAGAACTTTGGGGTTGCAGAAGTGGATTCTTGGAATCCTGTACCCCATAGTTTTTGTTTGACAGGCCTGACAAGACTACATCAAATGGGAGAAGAGGTCTTTCCACAAAGGAAAAGCAGAGTACAGTTACCAAAGAAAGGGGTGGGGACCTGGATAGGCAAAGTCAATTGATGTCACACTAAGGTCCGAGGAGAATGTCACATGCAGAGGAGCTGGTCAAAGATGAATTTCAAGGGCTGTGATTTATTTAAAAACAGTTTCCAAGCTGGGTCATTCAAGGAATTCCATTGGAGCAGGACAAGGCAGGCTAGGTGTGAACTTAATCTTACAGAGATTGAGGGCTGGCAGGAGCCAAATAAGAAACAGACTCCACTTAGCAGTTGTTTAGAGATGGGATGTTCCTTGTGAGAGGAGAGAAATCTGGACAAAAGGGGTGGGGGGGTGGTGCGGACAGACAGCAAGGAGGCCCTACATATAAAATATCTGGCATAATTCCTAGTAGATAATAAATGCTTAACGAATACTAGTTCTCGCTCTGCCTAGGGTGTCTAAAAGGGAATGCCTACCTCATGGGCTGAGGAATAAAGCAGCAGAAAGAACTCTGGGCTGAGCTAGAGATGTCCTGGCTTGTTGCTGTCTAATTAAGGGCAGGACAGGAGCAGAGCAAATTGTAGACATCTGGGCACATATTTACAACAGCTAGGATTGGTAAAGGCAAGGGTTGGCAGGCAGCCCTTAATATCTTCATTCAGAAGTAGGGTGAGTAAACACATGAAAGACTAAAGAAGATTCCCTTGTGTGACTCATGCAAAAAAAATGAGAGAGAGAGAGAGAGAGAGAGAGAGAGAGAGATATTACGTAAGGACAGAGGACAGAAGGTGAGATGTTGGCACTTTTAGCAGTCTTGAGCAAAATGCTTCCTAAACTGTGTTCCAGAGCTGTTTCTCAAACTTTACTGTATATGTGATCACATTCTGCATTGGTAGTTCTGGGTGAGGCCGAACAAAGTCTTAAGGGATGCTGATGCTGCTAGTCCAGGTGGCTTTTTATGACACTATTTCCTTAAGATGCTTGTAGAGGCTCTGAACAGAGACTCTGGTCAAGAGCATATAGAAAACTCTGATTAATGGACTTCTTTCATGCAAGATTTTTCTTACCTTTAACATGCTAATCTGATTGTGAAACAAGTTTCACAAGGGATGAAAAAGTATACTAAAATTCCATGTTTCTGACCTACTAGAACACAGAAACTACCTTTTTCCTTATTAATATTCTATGGAGCTCTGTGGGAAGTTCTCGAAACAGATCCTAAGCTCTAAGCCCCTGCACGCATTGGAGAGCAGCACTGCTCCCAGAGCCCTCTGGGGAGGCCAACTCACAGGTCTGTGTGCGCTGGGGCTCTCCCCTCTCCCAGTCAATGAAAGAGAGGGCTATGGAGAGGTCCCTGTTGTACAAATATTATATTTCCTTCACTTCGCTTCCAGCTGAAGAGAAATTTTGGTGAAGTACATGAGAAGTATCTGAGTGAATACTGCTTTTCCGGAACCTACATTATCTCTCTCCTTCAGAGGGCCTATCACATCACACCTGATTTCTGGAAGAATATTCATTTCATGGGCAAGGTAATTTGGGTACTCGATGGGTTTCGGGGAGGTTGAATGGTAGTGACTGAAGAAGCTTTGGGCCTGAAAGAGGTAGGAGTCAACCTTGTTTGAGTTTTGGCCTGATCCACCACTTTACCTCTAACCCAAGTTGGCATTTTGTGTCAAACCCTTCTGAGTTTGTCAACCATCTAGTTGTGGATATCCTATAAGGAGAGCTACCCGCATTCTCAGCCCTTCCTTTCTGCTTACGTAACAGTGACGAAGTCTTTATAAAACAAAGAAACAAAATGAGACATTAAAGTAATGTAACAGTAGCCACAGTGATTCTGTGTACTGACTTCAATATCCACGCCAATGGCCCTTTCCATGACTCTGGAAAGGATGGTGATGGTTTCTCATAAGGGGTGAAGGCTTTGCTGGTTGGAGCTTCAAGGTTGACCAATCTGAAAGCTTAGTATGAAGAAAGAGATGAGTGGCTGTGAATGGGGATCTGTGTTTAGAAGCCAGGCTTAGCAAGAGCGCAAAGGAAGCGGCAGCCTCGCTGCTGTGCTTTACCACAGTGCCACCTGCAGGCAGAGAAACATTTATATAGGCTGCGTGACTCATGGGCAACTTGTGCTTAAAAAATATCAAGAGTTGCATTTCTCTGCCTTTCAAGCCCATACCCACTAATGGCAAAAACAAGTTATCCTCTTTATTAAATATAGTGATTCCAAGCAAAATATAACATTGAGACAGAGCACTGTAGTCGCCTTGAGGATACTAATTTGATTACTCTTGTCAAGACTGACCTTGCTAATTCAAACATAAATCTTTACCTTGTTTTAATATCCCTTCCAGTCCATCCTTCCATTTTATCACAGTTAATTTTGTCTGTTTGAAGGATATGTCTATATCAAATTTACAAGTGATTTGTATTCTTTAAACTCCAATGAATGACCCAATGTTTCTAAACCCTAGGCGATAACTGTAACTCTGGAGCTTTCCTTGACACACACAGATAAGGTTCTTGTCCCCATAAAGGAAAGTGGTTTTCTTTACAGATTATAATTTCCCAGTATTGGTAAGGGGTGACGGGAGAGGAATATTCCACTACTGGTATTGGCTGGAGTGTTACAACCTTTGGGGAGACTGTATTGGCAATATGGGTTAAGACCCTTAAAATATGCGCTTCATTTTATCCAATTACTCCATTCTGGGATTTATAAATAATTGGATAAAGTGAGTAAAAATGAACATATGAGGCAGTTATAGATGATGAAGTTATAGAAATCCTTTAAGAGACATGGGATGACTATTAAGTGAATAATTCTACATAAATTTAATCTCATTTTTTATAAGAGAAAACAGAGAGGATTGGAAGGATATGTCGCAAAATGATAATAGCAGCAACTTCTGAGTGGTGAAGTATAGATGGTTTTTATTTTTTTTTAGGATTTTCTGTACTTTCTAACTTTTCTACTATGACCATGCTCTACTTATGTAATAAAAACATTTCCCGAATTACTTATTATTCATAGACTCCCTACATTTCAATAAGTTTTGAGGCAATTGGGAAATATTCCTAGGAAGATGGCAGGGTCAGAGCATGTTTTATCACTTAATAAGAATCCTTTTTGATGCATATGCACAGTCTTCCAAAGTCCATAAAGTCAGATTGACTTGCTGAGGTCATTCCCCAATTTTCCCCTAGTTTAATCAAAGAGAAGTCCTGATTTTACAATGGTTGAGATTCCTGGCCCTAGCATAGATGTAAAAGGCCAGGGACAATCATTATGCTTTTATCCTTTGCCTGCTTCCTGTCACTCCTCAACTCCCTTCCCCTT